ATTTTTCAAAAACGCTTCATGAGACAGCTCGCTTTCTTCGGCAGAAGAAACTGCGAAAATGGATTGAATACCCTGGCCAGTAATTATATTTTGCTGTCTATGGGCCCTCTACAAATACCAAGTAGTCCAATTTTTCTGAATTTCTTTCGAATTATTGTAGAATTTTGGCCAAAATCTGCTTGCTCTTACTAGGATTTTGATGTTATTCAGGTTTATTAAATACCCTCTATCTGCCTTAAACTTCACAATTGCTATTGTTTTCCATTTGGTAACACTTGTGTTCTTTTAACATCACTCCGGTGTGTTTCCTATTAACGGCTTGTTCTGGGATTTCATCCAGATGATACACTTCCTCGTCCAGGTGTTCCCATCCGCAGATGATTCATGTTCAATGTTCTAGTGTTGATAAGACTCTGCCTCTGGGTCAAATGTTTTAAGCATTTAGGCACCCATTTTGATATAAGAGTTGCCAATTCCAGACGTCTTTTCTTTTCCAGAATAGTTCAAAATTTGGTATAAACAAAAATAAGTTTGCGTTTCTGATTCAAGCGAAGGTTCTAGAGACTGAGAAAGAACGCATTAGGCTAGAATGAATAAGATGTAAGCACGGTGAACGTTTCTCCTGACATATCTACTGCGCATTTGTGGGTGGAGCTGTCTCAGATGCAAACTTATTTTTGTCGATCTGTAAATAAATAAATAATTTGACTTATAAATATTTATTACATATCACTTTGCCACTTAGTTCCTTATTTGTAAATTGTGGACAATACAATCAGTCCAATATCTATATAAATATTCAAGCTTCTAATGTAAAAGAATCAAGTACGAGTTTAACCGTTTTTTAATTGTTTGTTACAATTCAGTAATTAACTGATTTATATTAACATAACTTAATAATTGTTAATTTATTACCTTTGATATTGCTACTCAAACAAAGTCGGACAATACACCCGACAAATAAGTATTTCCAAATAAACAATGACGATTTTGGTTATTCGAACAAAACGATTAATTTATTATTTACTTAAATGTCCACATCCATATTTATACAGACAACAACACAAACTAATAAAAGTAAACAGCTTTACAATTTGATATTTTGGTGAACCGATGCATTATTTATGATTACTCCACGTACATAACTAAGTAAGTGTGTCTGTGTTTAATTTCGGACTATTTTTAACGAGGGTATTGGGGAATACACGATACACAATGGGGAGCATATTCATATACGAAGGTATTCGTACGACATATATAAAAATACACGCACACTCATATTAGAGACAACAGAGAACAGTTAGATAGGTAAATCAATGACACTAAATGAACAGCTGAGTTAATGCGTGTGGTAGACGGGAAATTTTGCGTCAACTGTGGAAACGTAAACGATAAGGACGAATCACCAACAATTAATAATTGAGTAACAGTTTGGAAGATTCAATTGTGCCTATTTAACGATTTAATTATAATTAGTTATGAGTAGTATAACTATAAAGGATATAAAGTACTTAAACGAAAAAAATGTGTAACCTATTTTCCTAAAATTTGTGAAAGATGTTAAAAATAAAATCGTAATAATGAAATCAATAAATAACACTTATTAATATGTAGTAAGTTCTTACAGTGCATTCCAAAGTAAATAGGAGTTTTGTCAAAACCGATTTATTTTAATCAAAATAGTACCAATACAGCAATTTGCATGGCCTAAAAATCGAATTAGTGTTTTATATTGTCGGTCGGGATGTCCTTCAGGATATCCGTATGAGCCTTACGCATGGCATCCATGTCCAAAAAACGCTTTCCTGTCATAGACAAATGCAATTCCCTGAAAAGGTAAAAATCGCACTGTGCCAAGTCAGGCGAATGTGGGGAGTGGTTGGCAGAAAAAATGCGAGGAGATCGGTGTGGATCAATGAGATGGTGCATTATAGTGCAACAAACGCCAACTTCTTTCTGCGCGATATTCTGGACGGGTACGACGAATATGATGCACCAAACGCTTCAAAACGCCAAGATAGAATTGTGCATTAACGTTAATTGGCCCGTGGAAGGAACTCTTTGTGTACATTGCCATTGGACTCCTAAAAGCAAATTAACATTGTCTTCACTTTTGACTTTTTCAAACATGATTTTCCTGTTTTTGACTCGTCTGGCGCTTTTCACTACTAGGCATTTTGGCGCTTGGTTTCTGGGTCATATTGAGATCACCACGTTTCATCACCAGTCAAAACGAATGCTGTAAAGGATGTTTTTGTTCTTTTTGGCCTCCTTGATGATGTCCTTCGAACAATTTTTGGTCGTCAGTCAACTTATGCGGAACAAACCATACATACACTTTTTGGTAGTCCAAATGTTCGGCCAAAATGCGATAAATTAATGTTTTTGAGACGCTCGATAACAAATTCCATGAATTCCGATGAAAATTTTGGTTTATCTTTGATGTCAAGTCATTCACGCACAGTGTTGATGGTATCTGCAGTGATCCAGATTTCGGTTGGCCGACATGTTGTTCATTATTTATGTCCTCACGAACGCTTTTAAACTGCGTATACCATTCATGAACTTTGCCAAGGGATAAACAATCATCACCATAAACTTGGTTAAACGATTGAAACGTTTCGGTAAAAGTTTTAGCAAGTTTAAAACGAAACCCTTTGTTCGATGCTCATTTTTGTACCGATGTCACAAACATACTGTCTCCGCTTCTATTCCTCCAAATATCATGAAATTTTGACAGTACATCAGTGAAGGATCTACCTTTCCCAAGCATGTAATTGCAAATAGATGACCTCATTAGAAATACCTATTTTTTAAAAGTCCTTTTTTCAATGATTTAAAAGTTGCTTCTCGTATAGCTATGCCAAAAGTAATTATGATAGTTTTATTCATGCTTACGTTTACTAATATAAAGAACTAAGTATATTTTGCATTTTGTAGTGGATAAACCGTGTTGTGGCATACAGCTAACAGCACAGATATCGTGAAGTAAACATGACAATCAAAATCTTAGTATTGCAAAAAATTAAGTTGCCGCTAAGGAAAGTACAGAAAAGTATTTAATGCCAGTTGGAGAACTTGTTGAGAATTTTACAAACAAAAAAGCTGTAGTGGATCCGTTACTTTAATTCAATTTAGAGATCCTGTGTACTTGACATAGCTGTTTTACTTTTTATTATGCAGTGCTAACAACCTGGACACTGTTGTAACATTTTTATTTACAATTTCTTTAAATTATTTTGCCTTTGGCGGTCAAATTAATGAAGAAGTTAAAAGATATTTTAAAAAACGTTCTTACCTTTGCATAAGTTGATGCAACAGGTGAAATTTTATAATAACCCATGTTTTAGCAAATATACTGACAATAATATTATTCACTCGCATTTTAAAACTGGGACGATATTTCCATATCACACAGTGTTGTATTTATTTATAACATCATATAGATATATACTTGGAAGTGAAGGTAAATGAGAAGCATTTTTCTACGTAATTTGTAGCCTACATTTAAATTGTATTTATAAAGTTATATTTCTAAACACTTAAAATATCATTAAATTTTTCATTCTACGTTGCACCCTAAAATTAAATTCAAAAGCATCATCTATATGCATTTCCTACTAATAAAAAAGATAAATTCTCCAAAATGTTACTTAATTACGAGATTGTAAACATGTTGCCTGGCACGTCACCATCTTTAACCTCGGTAAAACAGTATATCTATACAAATGAAATCTACTATTTCCTAACAACCTGTTTTTAGACCTCAATAAAACTCCATTTCGGCCTACTTTAGAAACATAGGCTTATAACAATCGTAAAATTTTGTACGGAAAGACACTACATCTTACCGTAAAATATGTTAGGGAAATCCTGGGTTTCAGGAACTTTTCCAACTCTTTGTTGACTAATAAATCCTGGAAAGATAAAGTAATTCCCCACGGTTCGCAGAGGACGACGAGTAAATAGGTAGGTACGAGGAAATAGACTGCAAAATATTACTAGCGAAGTTTTACTTGAAAATGTAAAGTGTTTCTTTCTTTGGAATTTAAAGGTAAACGTTAAAATCTTTCAGATATTTCATACTTCTTAAATTACAAACGTAACAAGTTTATATGATTTAATTATTGCAAGGGCTAGTTAAAAAATTCGAAAAAGACTCGAGTATAAGTGATTTACTTTGACTGTGGGGTTGCCGGTGTTTAAAAAACGAAATAAAATGACGCTTTTAACACTTGTATCATAACTGCTTTAAATTAACTGTGAATATATGCCTATTACTGTGCTAAAAATAATACAGAATCAGACTACTGTAAGAGGTGTTCAGGAGCTAAAACGAACTCATTTGATAGTCTATAAAATGCGTTTAGAAAGATACGTATTTTTTTTACTTCAATACATCTCCTATTTATTTATCTTCTAATCCGCTTTGATACATCCTGTACAAGATAATGGGTCCGCAATGTCTTGAAATAAACCTTGTAAACAATTCATTACTTTAGGGGTCTAAATTAAAAAGTGAAATAACCCCTTATATACCCTCAGCCCTAAATCTAGACTCACAATTTACCCCAGGTTTACTGTAGCCGTATAAAAGCTTCAACAATTTTCTCGCCAATCCAAATGACGAGGCGCAGACAAAAAAACCATTAAAGAAATCAGTTTTCGATGGAGAATGTAAACGACCTTGTTATCTGTAATCGACATATTGAATCGAGCTTCACACAAAGAAAACACCACTTTTGCTTACGCAATTGACACTTAATAAAATAATTAAATATATGAACTGCGCCAGTTTATGGGGTTTACAAAACTGAGCCAGAAACACGGGATGCAGCAAAAGTAGTGTGCTTAATAAAAATAGAGATAGTAAATTATATGATAAATCACGCAAACTTTATTACGATTACGGATATATACTTTGCCTCAACTAAAGGAATCAATTTGAATTAATTAACATATATTTATAATAAGATGCCTTAATAAAGACCCTTGTTTACCTATTGATAAGTATCCAATGAAGTGATTTGGTCAGAAGTAATCCAAAAAATCCTGTTTTCTTGTAAATGTTTGTCAACGCAGAATTATCATCACAAACTTTTTTTTGTCTTACTAACGATAAAGATTGACACAAACACTAAGATTAGGTAAGTAAGCGAGCATCAAACAAAAAAAAATAAGAAAAAACTTTCTATGCAATGCCGCTACATGAAAATGTTAAAGGTTTGCACTAGTTAATTTGAAATGGTCCTGTATATTATCACATATATCTGTCGCGAAGTTCGCGCGCTCCTCGACGTTCTGCTGACGGTAACTTCACAGGCACTGCCTTGCGCTTTGCGCGCGTAGTACGAATTCTAGCTTTGGAGCTTCGGCGAAGTAAGTATCGAAACTGGACGTCGATTTCAACGCTAGGAAAGCAGAGGACGGCATCAAAATCGCTTTCCACGGCACGTCGTGTGGTGGAAACCAATTTTGAGCGGTATTTCGTGGGCACGTGGACAAAAGCGAAGGCTTTTCGGACAGCGCAGTCGATCTTTTGGTCCCTTTCAACAAGAGTATTAAGTGGAAAAGTCCCATTCGAGACAGATTTTTGTACAGATTATCGTGTTTGACGGTGAATTTTATTTGTTTTAATAAACTGTGTGTTACACTGGCTCTTTTTTGTTGGGCCGATTAAGTCGGGAGCTTTTATTATATGGTTTATTGTCGCCGGTTTTTGTAAGAATTCAGGGACTGTTTAAGTAGCTTCGTATTAGACCATATCAGTTTGTTTGCGTGGAAAAACGCTCGTAACGAAATGTGGACAGTTTATGTTTGTTTTCCGCCAATTACATTTGGAGGTTTTTTAGTTTTTTAAATCTTTACCTTTTAGAAGAAACGGAATAATAATTAAATACGAAACAATACAATGCAAGTTGATTCATATTTTCATTTGTGATTCATGGCTTAAAAAAATTAAAATTCTTATTGAGCAGGTACTGACAAAAAATGTAGGTATCTAAGTACTACTTAGAAATTAAAATTAAATAAAAAAAGATATGTCTTGGATATTTCTTTGAAAGTATACATTATTTATATCCTGTATGTATTTCACTATGTCTAATTTACTAATTATAAGGAAATGATCCTATGATTCCAAAACTGAGTGTTTAGAAAAACAATTGAACAAAAATATATGAAAATATATGATAATCATATGTTGAAAGCTCTCTATCCAAATATGTAAAAATATATAGAGTGTTCTGAAATTATAAGAAAATTATCTACAACTTCGGCCAACACTATTTTTTTCTAAGTATGAAAGTAAGATAAGGGGGGAGGATGGTGTAGACTGTTAGGTATATATATGAACTATGTACACCCTAGTAACGAATAATTATGTAAAAAATAAAAATGAAATATCCAAAAAGTACTAAGTATTCAGCAAACTATATAGGGTGTCCCATAAGCACATGACCAAAAAGGTACTGCGACATTCTTTGGCTCAAAAGAAGTCGATTTGATCTAACTTTCATCAAGAGAAAATGTCTGGTTCCTCTGCTATTGACGGTCAAAGTTCTTGAAAAAAAATGTTTTTTGTAATATCTGGAGAATGTTACCATGGATTTTAATGAAACTTACTGTGGACTTGTTCCTAAGTAAAACTCATGTTTTGATGAAGCAATCGCGTCCATCTTGGGCCTCGAGCTAGTGGTAAATTCTTAAGTGTCTTGGTACAAGAATTACCAGAACTTTTTATTTGGTCGCTTTAACCTTGTTAAATTTTTTTCTGTGGGGAGTCTTGAAGAATAAAGTTTACGCTACGAATCCCAGGAAGAATTATTGCGTAGGATTCAAAAAGAGGCGGACGTAATACGGAAAGATCCAAAAATGTTGAGAATGGCTCAATTCAATTTCAATCGAAGGATCCAGCTATGCATCCAGGAAAATGGGGGGCATATCGAACATGTCTTGTAATTCCACCATCATCTATCGTATCTATGTAACTATCATCCGGTTTCAATAAAGAGAATTATGTCTTTCCTAAGTACGTCTTTACATTTTTTGAGTGTTAACAAAAAATAAATCTAATGAAGTAAAATGATGTTCAATCCGTCGCATTGCGACAGACTTTAAAGTTGCGCCTTAAAGTTACTTATCCTAGGTAAAAGAATTGGCAATTATTACACAGCCACACAAAAAAAAAAGTTGGGTATACTTTTTATGCGACATATATTTTTCGTAGTAATTTGTCCTCCTGAACACGAATCTGGCGTCAGAATTGGCCCATCACGTCACAATTTTTTCCTAACCTCAAAAAACTTGTGAAAAATAGTGAAAATTGATGAAAATTTACTGGGAAAATTTGGAAAAAAATTTATTTCCACATCAAATAGTATATTTTTATGTAAAAGACTCTGCTGAATTCAAATCCACTATCAGAATTGAGCTAGAACGTGTGGTTTTTTTTCTAACCTCAAAAAACCGAGCAGGAATCGCTATTTTCAAATTCTGAGCGGATTTTGACCAGATTTTGTATAAAGGGGTTTTTTGGGTCGCTGATTACGAATATGAATTCACATTGTAAAAATGATGTGCTTGTTTCCATGGGACAAGAAAAGACAAAAAAAGATAGTGAGACAACTCCGTTGCCCACCGTCACCACGTGGAGGTGCCCTGGATGCAGACACAAGACCAATTGACCTTTAAGCAGCAGGTATAACAGTACCTATAAATGTTAATATAATAAAAATTTTATATTTTTTATTATATTGTAAACAAGCACATCACACTACACATCATTACATGTGTAGAGTCCTTAAGTCATTTTTTTAAGCGAAGTCACATTTTTAGACGAAGTGGAATCTTTTACCTTGATTTATGAAAATCTGGCTCCAGATGTGTGATTAATGAAGGTGAGATCAACCAGCAATCCTTATGATACCAAATTTTACTGAAATCGGCGGGTTTCAAAAAAGTACACCCGCCATATTGGATCAGCCATCTTGAATTTTTACAATGTGAATTCATATTCGTAATCAGCGACCCAAAAACCCCTTTGTACAAAATCTGGTCAAAATCCGCTGAGAATTTGAAATAGTGATTCCTGCTCGGTTTTTGAGGTTAGAAAAAAAAACCACACGTTCTAGCTCAATTCTGACAGTGGATTTGAGTCTTTTACATAAAAATGTACTATTTGATGAGGAAATAAATTTTTTTACAAATTTTCCCAGTAAATTTTCATCAATTTTCACTATTGTTCACAAGTTTTTTGAGGTTAGGAAAAAATTGTGACGTGATGGGCCAATTCTGATCTCAGATTCGTTTTCAGGAGGCCAAATTACTACGAAAAATATATGTCGCATAAAAAGTATACCCAACTTTTTTTTTGTGTGGCTGTGTTATTATTAGAGAAAGCTGCTTCTTATAAAAGGGAAGATTTACTGCGATAAATTTAAAATTGTTAAATCGCAACGAAACAGAAAACAATTTTTTTGCGTAAAAACTATGAATGCTATACGATTTCACCAAGATACTTACTACGATGGTAGTGATTGTAGTGAGTATTTGTTGTACTTGAGTAGTAGTGACAATGATTGTCTAAAATTGAAAAAAATTTTTTTGCGTAAAAACTATGATTGCTACAAGATTTTACCAAGAACACGAAAATCTCGAAAAAGGACTGATGCATCAATAAAAATAAAATGAATTAATTCCAGTTACCAAAAAAAAATTCTGGTAATTCTTGTACCAAGAATTTACCACTAGCCCAAGGCAGCTGGACGCTGTTGCCTCATCAAAACATAAGTTTTACTTAGGAACAAGTCCACAGCAAGTTTCATTAAAATCCATTGTAACATTCTCCAGATATTAAAAAAAACTCTTTTTTTTCCAAGAACTGAGAGTCAATAGCAGAGGAGCCAGACATTTTTTCTTAATGGAAGTTAGGTCAAATCGTCTTCTTTTGTGCCAAAGAATATCGCAGTACCTTTTTGATCAAGTGCTTATGGGACACCCTGTATATTAGAGGTGCAAAAAGTAAACATAATAATTTATATTGATCTAATGGATTGGAGAAAAATTAAAAAAATTACATGCAAATTAAATGCATTGTCAAATTGACACAGGTCATTCGAAAGAAGACGTGTTGATCTATCAGATTGTGTTTTTAGTTGCGTCGTTAATGTGAATTTTCATTCATTTGAAATGAAATGTCAAGTTGTTAAAATTGATCATTTTCGACACTTGCTTCTTTCTGTTTTTAATTGAGAAAAGGCTAAAGCCGCTCAAGCTGCTCAGGAAATTTGTGCCGTATATGGTGATCATCCGAGGAATAAACGAACGACCCGTAGATGGTTTTCGCGTTTTGAAGAAGGTGATTTCAACCTTAAAGACATAAATTGCTCCGGGCGCTCTGTTGAATTTGATGAAGAGCAATTGAATCGACTCCTTCATGAAAATACAAGTCAATCAACAAAGGGAATTGGCTCAGGAGATGGGCAAAGTTCAAAGTCTCGGCACTTGGTCCCACATGCTTTGAACGAAAACAATAAGAAATCAATGCTCCGCAATTGGCGCTGGTTTGCTCTGTCGTCATGGATCAACACGTGGTGTTTGTATGTGAACATGAAACTGCGGAAAGAATGCCCCAAAAAAGCAAGCAACTCCGCGAACAAGTCCAAAACTTCATGCTCTAAAGACAATGTTATGCATTTGGTGGGATTCTTTATTAGAAATTCTTTATTAGAAACCAATCAAATCGTCAACGGAGAACTCTATATCCAACAACTACGGCGACTCCACGCAGCTATTCGACAAAAAAGTAACTGATCGGCGATATGACTTCTTTTGCAACATGTCAATGCACGACCACTATCGCCAATATGACCAAAGCGGCCAGTCTGGGGTTGAATTGGGAAGTTCTGCCCCACCAGCCTTACTCTCCCGATTTCACGCCTTCTGATTTTCACCTCATCCGCTCTTTGTCAAACTCCTTACGCGGTGTTTCTTTTAACAACAACAATGAGTTAAGAGCTTGTGGTTGGATAAGTTTTTCGAGTCAAAACTGGAGGATTTCTACAGAAGGAGAATCGAGAAATTTTGAGGTTGAACATTGGGAGAGGTCATAAATAACAATGAAGAATGCATCACTGATATTCACAATTGTAAAGTACTTTAAATATATTATATATAATTTTATTAAAATTGAAATGTATGTTGTTTCCATTTTTAAAAGAAATACAGAAATTCTCCAGCTACGTCATCGTAGTTGATGTTACAGCTATTAAAATGTAAGAATAAGAGATATTTTCTTACAAATTTACAT